GTGGTTTGACACTGAAAAAGTGTGAACTGTACTATGATACACGTACTAGTATGAACTTACTAGTGTGACACTGATACTATGAAGACACGATATTTTGATGACACTGATACTATGATGACACTGATACTATGAAAACTGGTACTAGGATACACTGGTACTAGGATGACACTGTACAAAATGATACACTGATACTATGTGACACTGGTCTAGTGTGAAACTGTATTTTGATGACACTGAAACTAGTGATACAAATGGTTTCTATATACACTGGTACTAGTGATGAACTGTACAGGATACACTGGGCAATGATACACTGTACTATGATGACACTGGTACTATGATGACATGTACTATGAAGACACTGTACTATTGATGACATGATATATGAGAAAGATACTATGATGACACTGGTAAAAGTATGACCTGTACAAGGGAAAGAACTGAACTATGAGACACTGGTACTAGTGAGACACTGTACTAGTGAGACACTGAAATATATGACAAATGATATATGATTCCCGATACTATGATGACACTGTACTTGATGACCTATATATAATGACACTGGGAAGGGGCTAAGGAAGACACTGATACTATGATGAACTGGTACTAGTGATGCACTGGTTTTAGTGAAGACACTGATACTATGAGACACGGGGCTAGTGAGACACGGAAGTGGACAAATGATACATGATGAACTGGACATGATACATGAAAAAGTGATGACACTGTACTGGATGAAATAACTATTATGACACTGTATAGGAGACACTGAAAATAGTGATGACACTGGATACTAGTGATGACACTGTACTATTTATGACACTGGAACTAGTGATGACACTGGTACTATGATGACACTTTGAACTAGTGATGACACTGATACTAGTGAAACACTGGTACTAAGTATGACACTGATAACTAAGTGATGACACTGATACTAGTGATGACACTGATACTATGATGACACTGTACAAGTGATGAACACTGATACAAGTGATGACCACTGATACAAGTGATGACACTGATACTAGTGATGACACTGATTCTAGTGGATGACACTGAAACAAGTGATGACACTGATACAGTGATGACACTAGTAATACAAGTGATGACACTGGTACTAGTGAATACACTGGTATAGTGATGACACTGATACTAGTGATGACACTGATACTAGTGAATGAACACTGTACTAGTGATGACAACTGGTACTAGTGATAACACCGGTACTAGTGATGACACGATACTAGTGATGACACTGATACTAGCTGATGACACTGATACTAGAGATGAAACTGGTAACTAGTGATGCACTGGTACTCAGTGAAGACACTGATACTAGTGATGACACTGGTACTAGTGATGACACTGGTACTAAGTGATGACACTCTGGTACAGTGATGAAACAGATAACTAAGATGACACTGGTTAAAAAAAAAAAAAAAAAAAAA